TTGTGCCACCAAATAAAAACATTTGGAGATCGTTGCAACATCTGTTCTGAGATGTTACTGTCAAACTCCATTCTCGGAGAGGGAGGAAACTGCATTGTCTTTCAGCGGCTTTGATGATTTCAGAAAGCGTCTCCACTGTGAGGGCTGTTCCATGTGCAGGGCCCCAGAACCCCCAGGACAGAGTCAGCACCGATGACACGTGCATCCACTCCAGTTTACATAAATTCAAGGTAATATTTAAAACACAAAGATTGGTACTATATTTCACTGTTCTCACGTCTTTCTAAAACTAAATTACATAATTAATGTGGTGACAAGAAATAGCTGTTATTCAGAAAGTATCCATGTTTGTGTGTCGCTCAAAATAATCAGAGTGGTTTACCTCCAAGTGGATGGGCACTCAGCACAGCTAAGAAGCCCAAGTCCTACCTGAGGCATCCGAGTCTCGAGCACCTGTCCACGGCTGAAGGCGCTATCGTGTGACACACCGCTTTTTGCTTAGACATAGAAGGTCACTTGTGAGAAATAAAAAATGGAAGCAAGTTTTGCTAATTAAGAAACGACACCAACAGTGCTGAGGCACAGAGAAAGAACAGGGAGAGTCAGAGGCGGTGAAAGCCGGGTCGGCCACGCTTGCTGCTGGTGGGGATGCTCTGGTCACTAGTCAGGGGAAACGAGCCCTGTGCTGCGGCGCAGACGGGGCTCCCGGCCTCGCTGGCAACGAGCAGGGTCTGTGGTAAATCCTCCTTTACAGCTCTGTTTTTACTGTTCACTGTCCCTTCAGCTCCGTGGTCCACTTTATGTGTGTAAATAAAAAGAAACGAAATGAGAGCGGAGGCCTTCGGTATCCATCTGTGGGCCCATAACTCAAGCGAACAACAACATTCTGCTGCCCTTCCCCCTTCTGCAGGGAGCAGGAAAAGACCACATAAACTAGCACAAAATGAAGAAATAGAAGAGAAAGTATCGACAATAAAAACGGCGCAGGAGTACCAAAGCCACCTGAGAATGGCCGAAGCGGTTAAGAAACAAGAACCCTGGAATGCTGAAAAGGCCATGAACCCTGGAAGGCGTTATTTAGTGAGCTGCCCCCCAGGATCGCACATGGCGGAAAGTAGGTGCTTACAAACTAAACAAATGAATGAATCCTCACTTTTCTTCTCTTTCACCTTCCAGAGGCAGGCCACCGCCATTCAGTTAGATGGTTTCAAGTCAGTTATGTAAACAAGATCCAATCTGGTTCAAATGGCTGAACCTTAGGACCATTGAACTGTTTCTGAATGTGAAGAAACAAACAATTCTCAAGTCACAGAAAAAAACAAAGCAGTTGACGTTTTTTTTCAGGAAGCAACCAAACCTGAACGGGAGTCTGCATTTATCTTCAAGACTTAACTTTACAAATACTCCTGTATTTTTAACTTTATGTATGCATGCAGGCTGGAGTTTCTATAGGACTGAAATGTAAAAATAGCACTGCCAGGTAAAAGATTAGCTTCTTGTTCTTTTGAAATGCACCAACCAACATACTGCTTTTTCAAAAGTTTACGTAAATGTCCATTTCCACCAACAATGCATGAAAAACCATCAGTGTTGGTGAACCACTCAGCTTCCCTTTCTTGAATAACAGGAAGAGTTTTAAAGATTACTTAATGTATGTAATTGCCAGTACCAGAGGCTACAGGGTGAAAAGTAAGTCCCCTTCCCAATCTTATTCCTAGACCTCCTGACAGAGGCAGACGCTGTTGTTCCCTTGCACATCCGTCCAGACATACTAGTTAACATCATCTCTCTGCACACACAATGCCACTGTTTTCAGAACAAATAGTATCATTCTGCAGTTCTTTTATCATTCCATAAAAATCTTTTTTTTAAAGAGCTACACAGTATTCCACACCTTGCAAATACCGTAACTAATTTAGCCAATTCTCTGTGGATGGGCATTCAGATTTATTCCAATCTTTTGTAGCGACAGTGATACTGAAGGTAATATCCTTATACTAAAGGGTTTGTGTACTTAGTGCAAGTACATTGGTGGGAAATGCTTCAATGGGGAATCGCTGGGCCAAAGGGTAAGTGCATTTTTACTTTTGATAGATATTTCCCAAGTAATTTTCATAGACTTTGTGCCCACTTATATGCCCACTGCCACTGTGTATCCTTGTGTCCTTAAGTTTACTGACAAACTGAAAAATTTATCGGTCAACCTAATATGTGAAAAATAGTATCTCATGGGAATTTTAATTGCATTCAAAGACCCATAGATCTGATTTTTAAATAATTAGGCGATTTATATTTTATATTCTGTAAATTTTGTGTTCATTTTTTATTACCAATTTTTGAAATTCTTACTAATATGAAGCATAATTAAAAAATTAAAAGCCCAAACTTGAAATACTACAACACAACATTTCCTGTTCTGAAATGTGACTTCCTTCATCACTTACAGTTAGTTCCTTAAATTATGAGTTGGTGGGGAGGGAAGACAGTGGAAGTGGAATTGGGAGAAAAGAAAGATAAAGAACCAATCTCAGCACAGACGCTGAAAGCTTATAACTGCAGAGAACCAGAATTAAAAGCTGAAGAACAGAAAGAAATCATCAACTAAAATATAATAAATGTTATAATAATCATCTATATTTCTATTTATTTCTCCATTGGAGATTATATAAAACAAGTGGTCATAATTTCATCTGTCAAAATTCTACCCTTGAACTTAATCAGACTTTACTGGATTTAAAACTACATCATTTGGGGACACATATTCTAACCAGCCAGCCTACTTCACACCATGCAAAGGGTTTCTATATTTTTTGAAAATGGGAACATTAAATTTCTCATAAACAGCTTTTGGTTAGCTGCTTCTTCAGAACTATCAGAATTTTTCTGGAGCATAAGGGTCATAAACACGATGGAACCTAAAAACGGTTGCAGATGCGATCATGGTCACTGACACATTCTGGTGGAAATCTTGGGGTCATCTTCACCTTTCTTCTCCTAGACTCATTTTTCCATAAGTCATGTGTTTTCTTTCCTCGAAATCTCTTTGTCCTCAGTATTCAATGCTACTATTCTGGTTTCCATCCTTATCACTTGGTGATGATATTACTGCTTCAGATTTTAAGCCCATCTCCATCTCTGCCCTTCTATCATACCTTAAGTCATCTTAAAACACAACCTGAGTGCATTTCATCTCACTCAAGAACCTAAGTGTTCAATACACACTTGCAGACTAAAGAAACAAAGTATAATAGCTATTGGATTTCCAACCCGAGCCCAGGCTCCTCTGCCTTAGCTTTCGAGTGCCTCCCTGCTCTGGTCCCACTCTTTTGCAGACGTCTCCCCCACCACTGTGTGCGATCAGTACTCACTCTCTCTCCTTTGCTTTTGCTCATGTCCTCTGTGCAAAACTGTGGCTCCTTCTAGTGACATGACAGGCTTCCTCTCTTGTTCTGTTTCTTCTCCCACTCTCTCAGTTCTCCTACGGGACCTCCTTTATCACCTTGGCTTCAAGGACCACCTATAAGGTGACAATATACCAATTCTCCCTCCAATTCTCGCTCCTGAATTCCACATTGGTCTCCCCAATACCTGGCATGTATCTCCAATAGCTCTCCCAGGAAGATCTCAAAACTGACACATGCAAAACTAAACTCACCTTTTTACTTCTTGAACCAAGCAGCCACCCGAGTTAGAAACATGGGTGGTTATCCTCGACTCCCAACCTTCCCTAATCTCCCACATCCAATTGGTGTCAATTCAACTTTGTTCCTTTCTCCTGTATCAATCCACTCCTTTCTATCTCCACAACTATTGCAGATTCCCAACCTCATCAACTCTCACCGTGGCCAGTTTTCCTAGTTAACTGCTTTGTACCTTAACTTCCATTCTAGGAAACCATCCCTTTATACTCCTGCTTAACATTAAAATCAAATTGTATTTTAAATGAGGATAATTTGAAGAGGATTTATTTACAATAGGACTATTGATAATGGTATGAGTGGACTGCAGGGGAAGCATATTGATAACCTGGGGACAGTACAGAGATGAAGATGTCACCACCGAAGGCGTGAAGGGACAACAGAAAAAACTAGTTCCTGGAAACAATAGGTTATGTAAATAAGGTCACCTTCAGAAGGGAAGAGGAAGCTGTCCCCACGTGTATTTATTCTTCAAGGAAGAAAGCCAGGAGAATAAGGACCTTGACCTCACTCTCTCTTCTTGCCCATTTCCTGCTGAGACTATTTATCCATTGGCTGAACTCAACTGAAAATCAAAGGGCACGAGAGTCTGCTAATTTAGCCAAGTTAGGTCAGCCTCTGGGGTGCAGCAGGGTGGAGGAAGTAAAGAGTGGATTGGGGATGTGTGTCCTTTCAGTGTCTGATTAAAAGACCTGGTTGGCTCTCAACCTCCTCCAAAGTTTAACTTCTTAATGAATACATGTCCCTCCAAGATCTGGCTGTTGCTTTCCTCTCACGATGTGAAAACTCATCTAGATGCACCCATGGTGAATTACACATCTTTTTATACTGAACTCACCACATGGAACACCTTTCCTCTATCCCCAGCTTGTCAATCTATTTTCCAAAATCAATTTACTCATCACCTACACTGTAAGAAAACTTCACAGCTCAGTTATATAATTGGCCACACTCTTTTGTGATTTCATTATCTATCTATGGATTTTTCTCTAAGCAGGTCTCATGTTTTATTGTCCTTGTTCGTTTATATGTTTATCTTTGTATACTAAATAGTAAACAAATCTCTAAAGAAAGCAGAGGATGTGTCAAGCACCTTTTATTCCCAGTACCCAATACTGTGCAAGACACAGAGTAGGAAAATAAATGATGGCTGAGTGAAGGAATGAATTTTAGGCTCAAGGCCAACACCATCCATGAGGTTTCCCTGACAACCTGGCCCCATGCTGATCTTCCCTGATATTCATTACCAGGGTTTAATGTTTCCCTACTTATTTTACTTGTTTTTTGTATTGTTTTTGTTAGGCTACAAACGACCTGACAGCAGAAAGTAAGTCTTCTGCTTCTCCGACAACACAGTTTGAGTCCACACTAGGAATTTCATAACCAGGTAAGTTGTATAAATTGGTGAAATTGATTTTAAAAAGGGGTGAAGGGGGAGATAGGTCTAATACCTATTTCCCGAGGCAGGAAAGCTGGCTTTTATGTAAACGTGTCCAATTTTTAATGTTTTAATTCTCCGCCCAAATTGAAAAATCTCATCTAACCCGGGAACTACTCTGCATTCCTAAGAGAGGAAGGCAGAGCTGTGGTTTGACCAAGGGCTTAGAGCATCACTGACCGAGGTGATCCTGTATGTGAGTGGGCGATCACTGGTCAGGAAATGTTCAAAAACTTTAGGTGGGAAGCCCCGGCTCTTGCAGCACTTCATTCTCCCTTAAACTGAAACCTTAAGGGGGAGGCCTATGTTTATAGCTTTTAGCATAAACACTATGAGCAAGCTCATTTAAGACCTATAGTGTTGACAGCGCTCTGCCTGGATGTATCCTGAGTTCCTTTTACCTCCAGCCTGCCACATATACTCAATCTAAAAAACGGTAGTAAAAGATAGTGGGTCTGACATGACTCTGAAAGCCAGAACATGTTAAATGCCAGTATGGACAAAGAATTAAGGAGAGACTCACATCTCAAATGACCAGCTTCTTAAGAAAGAGGCTTGATCAGATGTGGAAAGATGAAACAGAAAAGAAAGGAGCCTGGGCATCTGGACCAGAGCCATGTCAGAGTAACCTTGACAGCCAGCCTGCTTTCACACACCCAGCAGCTCCCTCAGCCATCCACGGAGGCGGGCGGGGGTTATTCGAGATGTAACCTATGAGGAAATTGAAGCCCCAGAGATTAAATAATATGCCTTTGGTCAGTGCAAATCCAGGATTGTAATTTATGTGTTCTGACCTCAACTCTATTATGCTGCTTCCCCAAACTGCCAACATCTCCCTCCTTAGGATGAGGTCAACAGGGTGAGGAGCTGGCTGTGCCTTGTCTGTTAGTGAAAAAAAATATACAAAAGTTAGTAGGAAGAAGGGTCCTTTACTGTTTATATTTGCAATATAGTCCTCTCTGACAGAGTGTGAAGGGCTGTTCAGATTGAAGCCTCAGAGTGACCCTGGCAGTTGATTAAATGATAAAACATGTCTTCATTTGAGTGTGGCTTGGGGTGGGGGAGAGCAAGACATGAAGGGCACCTGGTGTCACCGAGATTTCACCCCAGTTGTGAAGTCAGAACCCAGGGGCTCATCTTAGTCTCGGGCATTGCAACTAGCAGCCAGGCTGAAGCAGCTGCTTCTATTAAGGATCAAAAACCTACATTAAAAAAAATTCAAGGTCCTAATAAGTAAAAAGCAATTCTATTTGAGGTACCATCCCTTTCGAGAACTAGAAAATGGTCTATTTATTTACACAGAAAATGAAAAACAGCAAAAACAAGACTTTAGTTTTTATTTGTAGAATTTGAAGTCAAATACAGAAAGTGAAGAGGAATAAAAGGACTAGACAATGGCAAGCAGGGAAAAGAACATGAGGAGAAAGGAAGATAGGAAAACACATTAAAAAAAAGAAAATGAGACACAGAAATAGACAGAAGAAAAGAACATTATACACAGATAAACACAATTTCAACCCAGACAAAGGAAAGGAAGACCACAGCAATGCAGATGGGCAAAATACGGGTGTCACATGGCACCAACTGTGTAGCTAGGTTGTCATTGTACAGCTACAGGCAGAAATAAAGGCCTACTGTACAGAATCAAAGTTGAGGTCCAGGAGTTTTTAATACAATGGTTCTTATGATATATGCGTTTCTTTCATGCCTTATGGAAACATTTAAAAAGGAAAAGAGAGCCAAACGGCATGTCCAAAGTGTGGGGAGGGTGAGGAAAACATGCATGGATTTGAGCATTCCACCATTATTTCTCTATTGAAACATGACCCCATTCTTGGCTTCTTATTTGCTCCCTTTTCCACAGCCCGACGGCGAACTCCCACACACCAGAGCAACCGCGGAGCAGAGACAATAATGCAAGCAGCTGCTCAAGCTGTGGTTTTCATTAAGGGAAAAAAGTGCCTTGATTATAAGGGATTTAGTTTTTAACCTTTGGGCCAACACTAAAGTGATTAAAACTCCATGTACAGAAACACAAATGGTTTCTTAAAAGTATGATTGGAGCATACTCAGCATTATCTATGGGGGCTGAGAACAGTTCAAATTTTAACACCCACCTTGGCTTAGTGCATGAACTTGGATGTAGGAAAGCTAGCAAAAACCCAGTATACAAAACCCATTGTACAGGCCCTAAGTTGCATTTCTGCAAAGGTCAGGGATATATTTTTGCCAAATTCTTCAGCTACAAAAAGCAAGGCGATCAAGCCATGAAAAGACATGGAGGAACCTTAAATGCATAATTCTAGTGGAAGATGACAATTTGAAAAGGTTACATACTATATGATTCCAACTGATATTCTGGAAAAGGCAAACCTATTGGAGACAATAAAAAGATCAATTTTTTTCAGGGATTAGTGGGAAGGGAGGGATAAACTGATGGAACACGGAAGATTTTAGAGCAGTGAAAATGCTCTGTATGATAATATAATGGTCAATACATGCCATTAAACAGTTGTCCAAACCCACAGAATATACAATGCCAATGGTGAACCCTAAAGGAAACTGTGTACTTTTGGTGGCAATGATGTGTTAGTACAGGTTTATCAGTTATAACAAGTGAACCGCTGTGGTGGGGGTGCTGGCAATGGGGGAGGCTACGCGTGTGTTGGGGGCATGGTGTACGAGGTATATGGGGAAATCTCTGTAGCTTCCCCTCAATTTTGCCATGGATCTAAAGTTGCTCTAAAATAATTAAGGGAAAAAAAGCAAGACCACATCCTGAAGGCTTGCATTTGATACAAGAGCAAGAGTTAAGGTATGACATCCCAGAACCAGGCATGTTCTGCCCTCATGGCTCGGTACAAGGGTTGTGACTCTCAATCCAACATGTACTCATCGGTTATCGTTTTGCCTCCACATTCTCCCACAGCAGGTAAGTGCATAAACTTCTAGAGTTGAAATCCTGGCCCTCTTTCCTATTGTGCAACCCGGGTTACGTCATAATCACCAACCCCTCTGCCTGTCTCCTAGTTCTATAATACAAGGGCGATAAACCAACACCAATTATTGGGATGATTAAACACACAGGAACAGTTTCACACAATAGGTGGCACATGATAAAGAAGGGCTCAGTGGACATCAGAGAAGCCAAATGTGACACAGATGTACTTGTCATGAATGAACAGGAGTACAATCATGATGTTATCCTGAATTTCTCACTGGTTAGGGGGAAAGTGTTAGCTATGTCCTATGTTAAATCTGGAAAAGCTCCTCCAGAAGAAGAACCATGGAAGAGTATTCTAGATTTGACACAGTTAAAGAAGTAGTACATTTGATGGTCAGGGAGAAAAGAAGAGAGAAATGCAGAAAATAGGAGTTAGGTGCTCAGTACCCTGCCACTTAGTTGGAGACTCAGTTCTGGGAAAGACAGGGAATGGGAGACACGTGTTGTCTATTCTGTGACAAGTTGCCTAGTGAACCCTCTGCTCCTGGAAGAGCTGTCACAATGCAAACGTCTCATGTTTAAAATATAATTACTCTAATATATTTGTGAGCACAGTGACTGTGGGCGAGAGTCCTGGGCTTCTTAGGAATTAGACCAAGATGCAGTAAAAAAGGAAACTCCAGTAAAATAAAAAGACCCTACATGACTGATAATAGGCCCCTGTTCTTGTGAAATCTTTTCTTTTTAGTTAGAAAATGAAGAAGCAATAGCCACGCTGCTGCCCTGAGCCTGGAGGGTTCGATTTTTGCTAAAGTGTTTAATGAATGAGCAAGCTTCCGAACAGTAAATACATACACCTTTGTCCTACCCTCCTGAACCAGCCAGTGGTTTCTCCTCCACCTCCCCACTAAAGAGCAGCTCTCTCTTCTTTTGTTTTCTTTAGTCTTTGCTGACAAAACGCCCCTGCTCTTGCTCCCTGCTTCCAATACTTCGTTTTCATCCAAATGCCTCCACTTTTCTTCACCACAGATCTAGCTTATTGAGCATTCTGTATTGCCTTTCAGGTTTTGTCCCTATTCCATGTTAAACAGGCTGTGGTGCAAGTGGAGGACTTTGCTCGGTAAAATATTCCATCCAAGGAGGGCAGTTATGTAAACAGCGCTGCTCCTGGCAGGAAGGCCTGATGGGGTAAACAAGGCTGCAGAGAGAGAGTTCTCTCAGAGTGGGTGACTTCGTCAGGGCGCGGAGATACATTTCAAATAAAAGTATTCTTGTGTCTAATGTCAGATCAGGCCTTTCATAAACCCAAGTCACTGGGGACAATTTAAAAAGGACCATTAGGACCGAGTCAGCAACTCTGGTTTCTGAAACTCTACTAAGGGGACTTTTCATTTTCTGGTTTTACAATTGTCGTTCTTTAAAAATATAAACCAAAAATATTTAAAGTGCTAGGATTATTAAGAATTTACAATGTTTAAGAATCTACACAGTTGCTGAATGGAAATTATAGCTAATAATCTGTCAAATAAATAAAACAGGTAATTATCAGAACATTAGAGGACTGTGCCCGTGTCGATGTTTCATGTTGATACAGAAGGTTTATCACTGTCTTCATGAATCTTTGGCCCATAGGAAGAGTGATGAAAATGCAGTATTTGCTTTGCAAACAAGAGCTTACATAGAATATCACTAAACTAAAGTGATGATAGTTCACAACGCAGAAAATAGGCATCAGTGAGGACAAAGAGGAATTGTATTAACTTAAACTGGATAGCAGCTAATATGTGTGACAAAGAAAAAATAACTAGAAAGTTAAGGGGTTTGGTTTACAATTTAACTGTAAAAAATATAGTGGGACCTGATATTAAGTGTCTGAGCCCAAGTTCTTGGTATGAAATGCACAATGCGCTGGCCAAATATTTTTGTGTAATTATAAACACATCCTCATTTAGCATGATATTACTTAGGTTTAACTTGCATTAGTAGGAGGTGATGTGAGTGGTGGACAAGCAGTGTATGAGCAGGCAGATCTGGGTTGCAGTAGTAGATATGTGTGTAACCTTGGAAAGAGGACACCTCCCTGGGCTTCCTCATGTATAAAATGGTAATGGTGATGGTGATACTACTTTATGGGGCTTTTTCCAAGGATTAAATGAGACCATGTATGTGTAATACTCAGCAAGGAGCAGTGTGCACTCAATTAATAGTAAGATGATTAATATTTTCACTATCAGAACTCCATAATAGAATTAAAAATATAGGCCAAATTAATTTTTCCTTATTCTAACTATTAGTCAAAATAATAAAACAATTCAAATATTTATTTACTTACCACTCTGTTCAAGGCAGTGTGCAAAGTGCTAAATATATTTCAGATTCTCAGAGATTACTGGCCAGAAAATACTTAGAAATATGTTTTTCTTTCTCTTTTATTTACATACAGATTCAAAATTTTCCAATGCCTACGCAGTTTTTAAGATATGAATGATTTAGCATGGTATGTTTAGTTTGCAAGCCTTGTAAGTAATTCATAAATCGAGTCACTAAAATATCTGTGATTGGGGCTTGCATTAGGATGGCTGATATGGTTGACACCCTGTAGGTTGAAGCGACATTGTCAACAAAAATACTTTCTTTTGGCAATTCCACCATATTTCCATCTAGGATCCCACTGAATCTTTCTGAGGCTGGGATAAGGGGGTGTTGACATTGTTTTCATGAATGTTATTCTTACTAGTCATTATGCTGTAGCTTGTTCTTCTGGGTTCCTCCATCATTTCAACTTACACAAACATTTTTTTTGTGGAATGAAGTTAGAGAGGGTTAGGGATGTGGAAAAAATATCTTTACATGCTAAAGATAACTGGAAAAGACTAGTCTTTGGTGTTGGTAAAACTGACTCACTGTATGAGAAAAAGTGAAAATGAATCCTTATCTGGTACCATCTACTGGCAGCGAAGGACTCCAAAAACTGAAACTATAAGGCAAAACAATGATCACATTAGAGTTAAAGATTTCTGTTCAATGAAAGGCACTGTGGGAAAAGTCGACAAACAGGCAATAGAACAGATGATGCTTGCAAAGCCTAAAACTGAAGAGTCTGATATCTGAACTGGTTGATGAAATCCTGCAAACCCCCAATAAAATAATGGGTCAAGAATATGAACAGTCAATCTATTAATACTAAGGCTATCCGAAAGACTAGCAAGCACATGAAGAGATGCTGAATAATGAAATACAGGAAAATTGAGAGCTGTTACATCAGACCTAGAGGACTACAACATTGTAAATCCCTGATGTGAGTAAGGCATCCTGCTGGCAGCGGTGGGAAAAAGGCTGGGCAGCCATTCTGGAGAGCAACCTGGCGCCATTTAGTCGAACTAACTCGGTGCATTTCTAAGACCCGGCAACCCCACTCCTGTGTAGATGCCCCAGAGAGATGTTCGCACAGACCATAAGGAGCGATATCACTGCAGTATGATTTTTGTTGCCCACCCTTGAAGTCCACACAAACACACAGCAACAAGAATGAATTTTAAAACACAGTGGACCTTTAAAATAGTGCTGAATGAAAAAAAATACCCGTGAGATTTAAAACATAATACAGTTCCTGTAAATTTAAAATAGCTGCACATAAATCATTGTACTTTTGTAAAAACACATCCAAAAGAAAAAGGTACAATGAATTCATTCAAATGGCTGCATATAGGAGGGTGATGTGCTATCAGGATAAACCACAGTAAAATAAAATATTTTCTCACACTTTTATTTCTAGAGAGCAGACTCTATCACTGTATTTTTTAAAATACTCATTTAATATATCAAGAAGGAAAGAAAAAAGGAAAGAACAAAGAAGGGAAAATGGAAGGAGAAAAAGTTTTGTGTTTCTTAGAGGCCAAACATTTGGTGTGATCAACAAATTAAAATATTCTTTTTCGAAACAACAGCCACCTGCCAGCGCTCTGCACCATTCCACGGAGGCTCCACAGAGACACAGTCCCACACAGCGACACCCTGGCCTCGCAGCAAATGGGACACACCTCAACCTAACCAAGTGCTTCCGCTCACAAAACTATCTGCTCCTTCTCTTTTTATTTTCTAATTTCCACCAAATTGATGTCACATCGAAAACTAGGTATTTTTTTTAACCCTCTTCAATCCTGTCACCATTCATTTTGGGGATAGCAAAAACATAATTATTTTAAGAACATTTATTCCCTGCATTTAACACCCTCACAAATAACGGTTTCTGAGTTACAACCCTTCCTGTGTTAACATCCTGAACGCTGAATGTCTCAACTGGTTTAGAGGTTGTAGAGAACTGAACGCGGCTCTACACAGACCAAGGGTTCCTAAGCAGATCAAGATGAGATTACAAGTCCTATGGAGGTAAGTGGAAATGGACTGGAACAGCTTCCAGGGATGTTCCCAAATGCACATTGAACTGTTATATGCAACACTGTGTAAAAACATGAATGCGGACAAAATAGTGAACTTACAATCTCAGTGTGGAAGCGAAATACTAACATATGGAATACGAAATAAGAAAACAAGACAAAACATCATTACACTCTAAGGGAGGCCAATCGCTGGTTCTCGAACTGGTGTGTGTCAGGTTCGCCTGTGTGGAGGGCTCACTAGAGCGCAGTCTGTGGGGCCCACCCCGGTCTCTGCTTCAGCAGGTGTGGAGTAGGGGCCGAGACTCCGCATTTCTAACAAGCTCCCAGGGGTGCTGCTACTGCCA